TGGTAGGAAGTTGCCACAGTGGGAGCAGTGACTAAGGCACCCATCAAGGGACTCTGGACTTGGATAATTTTGGAACGTAAACAAAAACTACTTCCTTCAGTGAGAAGCATAAGGGAGACGCCTGCAGATATGTGATCTGTATCTTTGCTGTGATGCCACAGTAGGACACAGGAACCTGGCTGGAATTAGCTGTGTAATTTAATTCTTTCCTCATACATTCAGTGAATTCGACTGAGTAGCTAATCTAAAAGGAAAGGAGACAAGTGACAGGGCAAGAGAGGATGAGAAACTTAGCTATCTGTTTCCAGAAGGGCAGGCAGCCCAGAGCAGAGATTTTGAGAAGAAAAGGTGGGGAGGGGCAGCACTCAGAACAAGGAAGTGGCAGATGCACTAAAATTTAAAAAAGAAAGAGACCTTCAACCAAACCAAGAATTGGGAGATACACAGAAACAGGTGGATTAATTGAATTTGGGGGGATCTGCAGCTGGAGAGGGCTTAGAGGCAATGAATCAGAGATGGGAACAAGTCTTTTCCCTCATCCCTCTCTTGTTCTTCCCTTGATTTCCTTTCCTTCCTTAGCCAGATGTTCCATTGGGTCTAGGCAATTTCATCCTCATAGCTGACCAGTGAACGACAGATGGAAGGCAAGCTCAAACATTACTGTTAAGAGTACGTAGTACCTCAGAGTTGGAAATTTCTGTTCTTTTAGGTGGAACAATCCAGAAGACTAGTGGAAGGTGCTAGCTCTATGCTCTCCCCACATCCACCACTTGGTCCAAGAAATCGTTATGGGCTCCATCCTTCAGTGGCTAGAGAAGCAGCTAGTCCCTCACAACTGGTGAGTTTCACCCACTGCTCTGTGTGCTATGATGTAAGCATACAGACCTGCAAGCATGCACATGTATCTATGGCATCTGTGCTTCATCTGGGCATTGACTGCCTTGATTGTTCCAGATTAGGGCCTCTTCCATCATCATTTCCTGTTTGCAGGGTTGTACCACTAAAGAGAAATCTCAAGAATCACAGATGTTGAATCAAGAATCAAGAAGCTGATGTTGCAGGAATGGCACATCAGAACTTAGCAAAAAGTGACTTTACTCTTGATGAATCTGCTTTAATCTTTCCCTTTTATTGGCCTTATCACCCAAGGTCAGGCCAGTATCAGTACATTAAATATTATCAGTGAATGCTTTGGCTGTAGATGGGTTTACAGATGTTGTAAAACCCTTCAAGCAGTGGAGGCCTTTTAGAAAACAGAGTTGAAGGGGCATGGTAAGACTAAAGCTCGTTCCAGAAGGCCATGCTTTGCAGCTCTGGCTCATAAAGCTCTGACTTTCTGTTAGCAGGCAGAGAGGGAATGTTAATATACTCTTCAAATGTAGTGATACTAAAGTGTAAGGTCAGGGGTCAAATAGTCCCATTTTAACTGGTTCTAATTTCAATAATGATAATTGGTGCAGACTGAAGAGAGACTTCTTCCTCTCCATCCCATGCAGAGGGCACCTGGACCTGTAATTGATTATAACGGTGGACATCCTTCTCATCAACACCAGTCCAAGGAGCCTGCCTGTTCTAAGGTGGTGAGTTAACTCAGTTAAACAGTGTTTTTAGGCTTTAACATTTTAACATGATATTCTAAAGAGAATTTGAGGAAAAGATTAAATATCAGAAAAATGATGAGTATTGAACAAAAATAGGCAAGCTTTTGTTTTTCGTTCTCTTGGTGTCCACGTGCTGGAGTCGCCAAAACACAGCACACTTAACAGTTTCTATGAGTTCATTGTGTTTGCTTCAAGGCTGCACTGTGAAGAGACAGTAGCAAAACCTTGAGTTATGCCCAAGAGTTATTTTGGATGCTGCAGTTTTTGGAGGCTCAGTTAGAGGTGCCTGAAGGGGTTTGGCTCTTCAGAGGCAGACTGGAAAATTTGGTTTCCTGAAGGTACCCGAGAATCGCTCATCACTTCCAAATATCTTAATCACTGCTACTTTTTTTCTTTATGATGCTACTCTGCACTGAAAACTACACACAGATTTTGTAGCTGTTTGCTTTTTCCTTTTCTAGAGTTCGTGGCGACCAAATACAGCTCCAGGAAATACGCAACACCCGCGCCGCCTCCCACCGCTTCACAGCTGTGCTGCTGTAGGGTCTGTACCAAAGACTTCAAGCTCTAAACAAAAGTGCAACGTGCTTGAAAATGATCAGCAGTTTGCCAGTCGGGTGAGGCCATGTTTAATTCTGAAAAAAATAGCATTTTAGGGACAGCTTTATAATTCTGCTTTTGTTCTGTAGTTCCCAGAACTGTATACTGCAGGCAGCATGCCTACCAAATGGTTATCAACTTTTATTTAACTCCCCTTTTTAACCTCCCCTTAATTTTCAAGACATTTTCTTACTAGTCTAATGCCCAGTTCTTGATTGTAGCCAGGAAAAATATGGTGACTTCTCTTTCATAGTATAAAATATCTCTGCATGCAACATTTTCTGCCTCTACATAGATTTTTCTATTATATAGAAAGGGAGACAGCTCCTTGGTTAACATCTATAACTCAGGAATACTTTCACACAGTCTTTCAAGTTTTCATCTTCATCTATGGCCACAAAGTAGCAAAATACTGATTTCTTCTTTTTTTTTTTTTTTTTACCATTCTTGCTACTAAGACACACTAGCGGGGTCAGGGAATGAGAGCTTTCTGGAGTAGCCAAACATGATCAGGTGAGACTTGGACGTGTCTTCTGTTCTAGAAAAACACTGCGTAATTGGCTTTGTGTTAGGAGATCTGTGGGACTGGAGTATTTTGGAGTGGGACTGTCAGACACAGGGCCCTGGTTCTCTGCGTTTCATCCTGAAAGAGGACTAAATTAAAAGAATGTTAAAATGTTTTTGCAGGGGGAGAGGAGTGGGTTAAGACTTATGAATTCAGTGGAATATGTGACTGGTATATCCCCATATCAACTCCCTGTCATTAACAACTATGAGATACCAGTGCCACCCCCCTCTCTGCAAAAGGGAGACAGGAGCATAAACACAGTTCGAAACAGGACGTCCAGAGGCAGACGGTTCCGTCCCACCACCGCACCAAATGGCTTAGAGCAGCTTTTAACAACGGTGAGTTATCTCTGGCTACTTCTCAGTTTCTCTGTAGGTATATTGCCTTCCTCATTCATGTATTCATCTAGTATGCCTAGTTTACATAGAGTCACTGAAGTTTTGAAAGAAAGAAAATTTATAACTATTAAAATACATAACTGCCACCTGTCTCTCTATATGTTGAAACGTTTTATGTTTTTCATCAATTGGTGGAATAAAAGGTGCTTGAACAGAAAAAACATAGCAACTCTCATTTAAAGCCTTCCATCTTAGTCAATCTGATCCCGTCTCTGACCATATCTAGTACCAGAACTTCAGAGGATATGGGAAATGCCTTGAGTGTCTGTTGCACTGTAGCTCCAGACAGTTTTGACTCCTGTAAAGGAAATTGTAGGAACTCAGGATTGGGAGGGACGATATGGGTCATTAAACCTGGTCCCTGCAGTTTTTGGCAGTTCAATGTGATGTATGTTCAATACAAAATATTTTCCTGCCCTTCTGCATGTTACAAAACACTTTCCAATTTAAGCAGCTCAAGGCCTGTCTTCAAAGACTGGAAGCCTCAAGTGTATGTCACACATACATGATCTTTCTGTTCACCTTCTGTTAGAGTTGGAAGCTGAATGCATTTTTTTTTTTTTAATTTTTTTTTCTGCAGAATTCTGGAGGATTCCCTAAGCCCTCGTTACACAGCAACGCATTTGTTACCATGGTCTTTCTAGGAAAAAGTGTGCGTTTATCACACAGTGATGCTGATTACAGAGATGAAATCAAAGTCTATCAGCAGCATTGTGGAGGAGAAAACCTTTGTGTGTACAAAGGCAAGCTGTTGGAAGGAGGTAAGGATAAAGAGTCAAAGAATTCATATTGATTCTGGCAACATTTCTTTTTTTCCTAAAATGTTGATGTGATCTCAAAATGGTTTCATGTGAGCTCACTCAAGATATATGATATATGCATCCAGGGATTTTTATACCATCTGCCTCGCACTAAATCTGGATCTACTGTTTCATGCTTGAAAGTGAGGTTACAATTACTTTTGCAAATTATGGTAGAATGAATTTAGAGAACTGTTTTAATAAAATACTGTAGCTTAGATTAATTTTGTATAGAGAAGTATGGTTAATAGAGCAGTTGTAGCAGTAAACTGTCCTTAAATAGGGGTTATCTGTTTCTGACTTGCTGCAATAGATCAAAGCATGTTGCTTATTATTCCAGAAGGAAAGGTACACAGTGGGAGCCCATCTCTTTTACATGAGTGCAATCCCATCACACCAGTAAAAGGCAAATTGTGTTCTGGGAAACTGGGAAGAGGGAATGGCTGGGAGATTTTCAGTCATGAGGAAAAGTGATTCCACAGATCATACCCCCATTCCAGCTCACAGAACCCACAGTGTCTGCATTTTCACTGGATGTGGAAGGTGGTGTGGAGCTCCCTGCACTCCAGCCTGCGTTATGGGTGGTGTGCCCGCAGAGCTGGTGAGGGTGTTGGTGGCAGTTGTGTCCCAGCTGTGTGGAAGGTGTCCTATGTCTGTGCTCCTGTTGTCCTGAGCCCCATTCACACCTCTTGGGGAAGCTGCCGGAGTACAGTGTGGCTTCCTCCCGGCTGGTGGGTGCTCACTTTGCTTTGGAAGGATGTTCTGACTTGTGGGTTAAGGGAGCACAACCCCTTTCCCCTGCGCACGGCACTGGGTAGCAGCCCCAGGACCCTTAAAGCCTGGATGCCGAACAGTGCCCTTGCAGAGCAACCTGAAACGGCTCCAGGAACAGCATCACAGAGTCACAGAATCACGGTGGGGATTGGAAGGGACCTCTGGAGATCATCCAGTCCAACCCCCCTGCCAGAGCAGGGTCACCTCGAGCAGGTGGCACAGGGCTGCATCCAGGTGGGTTTGGAATCTCTCCAGAGAAGGAGACTCCACACCCTCTCTGGGCAGCCTGTCCCAGGGCTCTGGAACCTTCACAGCAAAGAAGTTTTTCCTCATGTTTCAGTGGAACCTCCTGTGTCCCACCTTGTGCCCGTTGCCCCTTGTCCTGTCACTGGCCACCGCTGAGCAGAGTCTGGCCCCATCCTCTCGACACCCGCCCTTTAGATATTGATAAGCACTGATGAGGTCCCCTCTCAGTCTGCTCTTCTCCAGGCTGAACAGCCCCAGGTCTCTCAGTCTTTCCTCATCAGAGAGATGCTCCAGCCCCTCATCATCTTTGTAGTCTCTGCAGGACTCTCTCCAGAAGTTCCCAGCTTTTTAAGTGGGGGACTCAGAACTGGACACAATACTCCAGATGTGGCCTCACCAGAGCAGAGTAGAGGGGGAGGAGAACTTCCCTCGACCTGCTGGTCACACACTTCTTAGTACACCACAGAATGCATCTTTCAGCAGCTCAGCTGGAGGAGGTGGAGTTTTGCCAAGTAATTAATACAGCCGAGAGCCAAGGTACCTGACCTCAGAGGGCTGGGGGCCTTGGTGGTGATGCAGATGAGATACAGCAGTTGCAATAGGATGGCAATAAATCTTAACCTTTTTATTTGATCCCTTTCCTTGCTGTGGTTACAGAGACCTTTCAGTTCGTCTCAAAGAGGCACCATGGTTTCCCATTCAGCCTCACCTTTTTTCTCAATGGGATGCAAGTGGACAGGCTGAGCTGTTGCTGCGAGTACAAACATCAGAAGCGTTCCAGGCTGGGAGGCAGACGTGGATACTTTGGGTTTCTCAGTGTGGAGGGAGCATCTCCTTGCTACAGGTATAGAGTTTAGGAAATGTCCAAATCTCAGTTTTTGTGTGATATCTAGAAAGATTTGAAGTGAATTTTCTGAATTAACATATAGTCTCCAGAAATTGGTTAAGTTCTTCCTGAGTCACCCCCACCTTCTGTCCATCTTCCCCTCATCTCAGTGATGTCTCTGGTTTCCTGTCTCTTGTCAGTCCAGCCAGCCTTTTCTGGTGACTAAAAACCATCTCCATTAACTAGATTCTCCCCATAAATGACAACTATTTTCACATCTCATGCAGGTCAAATGCAGTTGTATTTGTTTCCTGTTTTGAGTATGACACCACAGCCGCACGTTAAATACCCGCTCTGATTCTCAGTAAAGGTCCCAGTTGATTTTCCCCGATGGATTAAGGTTTTGCTTCACAAAGAGGTGATGCCGCAGTGATTTCTACACCAATACTGTGATCGTTGCACAGAGAGTTTTCTGCTGGCCTAGGTCCAGCATTTCTGTACAGTAGAAGTGCTTCAGTATCTCAAAGGTCCATGAAAAAAAATATCATGAACAAATAATTAACGGGCAAGGCTCTTTTCAGAAATCGGTACATTTACATTTTATGCCTGCAAAACTAATGGGTTTCTAGACTGAACGATGGTAGGATATTTCACTTTAGTTTGTAAACAGCTGGAACGTGAGGGGAATTGCAATCAAGCCTTACATAAAAAAGCAGTTTTGGTGGAGGAAAGATTTTTAAGACATAGCTATCTGTGAAGAAAATACGGTTTTCCAGAGAGACTTGTGTTTAGCTAAAGTGAAAGTTCCAGTTTCAGTTTCATTCCCTGCTTACAGATTTGAATCAATGTACTATGTGCAGCACAATGTCCTGACACTCATGGGCAGTGTAGGGTGGCTCTTCATGTCTGCAGTTAATGTTAATAGGGAGTAGGACCTCTGGTCTCTTACATGAGCCTCCCCACTGCAACAGAGAGGGGCTGTCACTCCATTTTATGCAAGAGGAACAGTCTCAACAAGTCATTAAAAATGCTTTCTTTTCCAACTGTGTAAGTTTCTGTTAGGTAGGAAAAACAGAACAGAAATTGGAATTAATTCAAATACAATATCCCTCTTCCCCTGCAGTTATTAGACCTAGGGGATAAATTAAAAAAAAAAAAAGTCTTATCCACAAAACCTGAGTTATCACTTCACTGGGTGTTACAGCAGGAGCTGGATCAAGCACACCTCTGACTTGGAGCTTGTCTGCCTTTCTCAGTGATTATATCTTCACAGGTCGTACTTGGTGTAGCTTGAAATTAATTGACACATGATGATTTTGGTTTTAATCTGTTTATACTTCAATTGTCACCTTTAAGTGCAGACAGCGTTACCCTCCTTCAAGGAGGAAAAGCACCTGTGTTTGTGGAGCATTTGGGGATTTTAGGGTGCTTCTCCAAGTAAGGCATTATTAGTAACCTTGCTGTCTGAGTAGCAATGCAGAGGCAGATAGGTACCTGGTTTTACTGCTGATCATGAGCTAAATAGCTTATTATGTCTGCTGCCCTTCCATTGTTCACAGAAAGAAAAATGTCATACTTTCCGGTTCTCCTTGGTTTTTTTATAGGTGCATTATTGCAATGGGTCTGGACAAAAAGCCATCCCCTCCCAAGAGAAAGATGGAAGACCATGAGGAAAAGCATGTGGGCTCCTGGAGAGATGGAGTGCAGCGTGAGCCAAACAAAAGCAGTGTTGAGCAGAAATCAAGCAAAGAGTCAGTGTTAGTCATCTTACCAAGTCATGAAGTGAGTGTGGAAGCTATTGAGGACAAAATGGAGACTGGACGGGACTACAGAAAAGAAGAAAGGAAAAAACTATCTGATCGTGAGAGTGAAGATAGTCAGGAAGACACCAGTAAAAATGGTACAATATTCCAAAACACAAGCAGGGGACGAAAAATGGGAGAGGGTGACTCTGGAGAAGGTGTGGGACTGTGGGCTTCCAACTTCACCTGGAGTATCCTCTCTTAGGACACCTCATGTGTGAGAAACGTGGTGATGCCTGTGTCTGGGCAATAAAATTAGTGGGGGCTCCCTTCAACCAAGCAACAGGATGAGAGGGTTTTGCAAGAGCCAAGAAAGTGAGTAAGAAAGGTCTGAGAGGCTGAAACAGGAGCCTGAGGTAGGTGGGAAAGCAGAAGGAACGTGAGGCACAGTGAAGAAGGAGAATGGCAGCAGGTGGAGGACAGGTAGAACAAAAAGGAGAAATGGGACTGGGTGTCAGTCTGAGGTGAGCTCATAAGGGAGAAAGGACATCAGCAGAAGGAGAATGGTGAGAAGATGGTGGCCATAGAGTCAGGAGGTGGAAAAGCCTCCTCATGGGAGATGGATGGGAAGGAGGGATGGACTGTGAAGGGGAGGAGGCTGAATGCTGGCTGCAGATGGGAGGGGAGGAGGTAAGAGAACACAGCAGCCAAATCAGGAAGATTTAGCACCAGATGAACTCTTTTGTTCTTTTCTCCTCTCTGGTGCCGGTGGGAGTGCAATGCTTTGTTCACCTGAGGCTCTTTCCAGTCCCTTCTCCACCACGCTGCCCCAGGCACCACTCACCTGACACCTGCCCAAGCCTCCAGCTTCCTCCCTTCTCTGAGCATTTGTTCCCTCTGCTCCAGGTCTACCACCTTTCTTGCTCACCTTTCTTGCCTTCTCTGCTCCCACCCCGCTGGGGCTGTTGTCCTTTCCCTTTACTGAATGCTCCTGTTGCCTGCTGTAGCTGGCTGACCTTGCCCCTTGTGCTTGAGTCCCATCTCGTCTCTGTTGATGGAGATTTTAAAAGAAAGACCAGAGAGAGGCTACTCTTGCTAAAATGTTGCCCAAGGCTTGTTTCTTGTGGCAGTCAAAGATAATATTTGTGGTATAAAAATGATGCATGGCAGCTCCAGCCGTGTGCTCAGAACATGCCATGTTCCCAGTTCCACCCAAGGCCAGTCCCTGTTGCCATCAGGCTGCTGACGCCTGTGCCTGCCCTGCGGGAAGGGACAGTGAGCTCAGCCTCTGCCTTCACTCCCTCCTTCTTATTCAGCCTTTTTTGGAAAAAGTCAAATTTAGAGAGAGATTTTAATTGCTACTTCCTGTTCCTATTTTTACTTTCATAATTCTGCAGTGCTACTGCTCAGCTTCTTTGTTAGTCCCCATGGATGTGTGTTTGTGATTAATCAAGCCTTTTTCCTTCCAAGAGGTGGGCACCTTTCTGACAGTTACCTAAGGAGGCCTCACTTCCAACAACGCTGTTGGAATCTCAAATGATTTTTAATGCAGAAAAGAAATCTCCTTATTCCCTTAATTCTCATTGTCTGGGTAATTGTTTATTTGCCTAATTGGTTCTGCATCAGGAACTCTTCATTTCTATCCTTGGCATTCTGTCACTTCATTACTTAAGAAGCACTGATGGAAAGAGAGAGAGGTGAGCAACAAAATCTGAAAGGTGAGAAATGATGGCCAGGAGGGACGGCTGGTGTGTCAGCAGTGACAGCTCTCCCTCACAATTTAGGTTTGCTGCCTCTCTGCTGCATGTGCAGTGAGCTGGTGGTGGCAGCGGAATTACCGCATTTAAATGGAAATCACTGACATCACCCTGTGTGCTGGGGCCTTGGCTGGAAAGGAAGGATTCTTTAATGCATATGCATGAAGGCAGTCTTCACCTATGGATCTGAGCAGAGTTATCTATCAGATGTTATATCTTGTCAGGCTAGTAGCCTGGGATGAAATCCAGATCATGTTGATGTAAGAATGGTAATTCTGCCGTGAGCTTCGTTTGTACGAGGTCACCTGGGACCTGAATGAGCATCTTGGAAGCCTGTGATAACAGAATGTTCCTCTGCAGCACCCTTTGGCTGGATTTAATTAATTAATTGAGTTAGTAAGCCACTTTTTTGCTAATTAACCATGTCAATCAACATTTATCTTACTTTGTGCTACACTATTATTACCTTTCTCCAGTTTTTTCTATTGCTTGTATTTTTCTTTCATCAAAAGAAAACTAATGAAACTGTCTTGCATTTTATTTCTGAGTTTGCTTAACTCTAAATTTTTCCAGTCCTTTCAGTGGCTAACGATTTTGTTTGTTTTGTTTTTAATATATTGATTGTACTTGATGCATGATTGAGTAGCTTTATTGCATTTTTGCTGCTCTATCTATGAAGAACATGATGCTTTTTTATGATAATGTGCTCTTATGATTCTTATCTGTGGTCTTAGATTCTCTGATGGCTTTAAAAAGACTGAGCAAATGCAAAGGCAAAAGGAGTTTAATGAAGTTAACCTCTGTCTGCTTAAAAAGAACTTTATTAGTTGTGAATTCTGTTTCCTGTCTCACAGTATGATTCTTTAATTTTAGAGTATGATGAAGATTTTGAAGCAGATGAAGAAGTTAATGAAGAGGGACAGACTGGTGATCAAATGAATGGAATGTCAGAGTCATCCTCAGATGATAAAAAACATAATTTAGACTATGAAAAGGAGAGTAAAAGCTCATCACAGAAGGCACTGCAGGCCTCTGACAGCGAGGAAGGTGACAGTGATGGATATTCTGACAGTGACTCAGACGATGATAAACAAGGTCAGTTTTTTTCTTAATGAGGCTTAGAGAAGTTGACCTGATGCATTTTTTACATTTTGTGCATGTCCAGTATGTATGTTGAGTCTGCACAGGAAAAACCACGCAATTCCTACTGAATTGGTGAAAGTTAGCTATTTTATCTGTTCTTATTAATTTTCCCATCTGTCACTGAAATACAGCCAAACCCACTGGCAGTATAAGTGTGTGCCAGCTCACAGCAGACATTGCTGAACTATTTAGCTCCAGAAATGGAGATGGAACCGGTCAGCAAATGAGCTCTAAATGCCTGGGGCAGATCAGCACTTCATGTCAGTGGTCACCGACACCTGAGAAGCTGTGACCGTGTCCCCCTGCTGAGGATATGTGCTTTTACCTGAAAAGTCACCCAGAAACCCACCATACCACCTTGTCCTTTCCAAGTGCTGTCTGTGATGGCCCTGAGTGATGAGAACCTCACCGTTGTCCCCTGGTACATCACTGGCTCTGTGCTGGCTCAGAGGGACACGCTGTCTGCTCAGCGGTCCCTTCCATGTGGTCAGGCAGTTGGTGAGAGTCCTTGTTCAGCTCTGGCTGGAATGAGTAAGAGGCTGAGTCAGTGAGATAGTCTGTGGTTCTTGACCCAAATGTAGGTCCAAAAGTGTGCACTGAAATGTCCAAGACCTTTATTATTATTAATTTAGAAAGATTAAACTGTTCTGGAATAAATTTTTGTAGACTGAGTAGCATTTTGTCATTCAGTGTTTTGGAACAGCACTTTTAATGTCTCGTGTTTTAACTGCCTTCTTGCAGTCCAAGCTGTGCATCTTCCTAAATAATCCCACAGAAAACTTGCAGGCAATTTCTCATTTATTAGACAAATGATAGAATTCCATCCACCACGTGGTGAATAAGCCAAAAGTGAACTGCCTCTTCCTTCTGGCATCGTGTTTTATTCCTCTCTAACATGTCTCCTCTATGGTTCTGTTAGGTCTTGAGCTAACTTATGTGCCTCTTGCTTGTCATAACATACCAGGATTTCTCCATTTACTGCTGTTTTAAAATTAATTACTTTCTCTTCCTTACATTTGACAGTCCTATTGTGCAAACTGTTTATGAAGTTAAATGGAAACATTACTTTCACATTTGTGTTTCTAGGTGAATTAAACAAAGGTAATGCAGCTGTTTGTGAAAAGGATGCAGCTGCAAGAAAGATCCAGTCTTTTTATAGAAAGCATAAAATCCAACAGAAATTCAAATCAGGTTTGAAACATCTTTGTGTTATAAAACCATTGCAGTGGTCAAAAAGAATCTTATTTTTTTGGGTTTTTTTTGTGATAATCAGAAATTGTGATTCATGAATAATCAGTACAATTACACATTCTTCTCTGCTTGTTAGTGTATGGCATTATGAACTTTTTCATTACTTCATTCCGCTGCTTTTCAAGCTCTGGCAGTGTGTGGTGATCAGGCGAAAGCATGTGGATGCACAGGTGTGCACAGCTGGGAAGGAGCAGGTCACTGAGGGCTTTCCTGGCTACCTGGGCATTAAGGCCTTGGACAAGGGACACCCTTATTCACCTTTATCTGTACTGGGATGTATACTGCTGCATGCACCAAAACTCACTAATTCAATATAAATTTTTCTATGATGAGGAGAAAAGGCTGTTGGGAAGCCACCAATCTTTAAATGCAGACATTTATCATCAGCAACTGATAGCGTAATACAGCGAGGCATCTTGGCAGGGCTCCTTTCCATCAGCTGGCAGGCACTGCCCATGGTTTTCAATTTGTATTTGCTGTGGCTTTGGTCTCCTTTACAGCAGTAGCTCAGGACATGCATTTAAATCATTTCCATTTTCTGTGGTTTTAAAGAAGACAGGTTTAATCTTCTTTCTTAGCAGCCTGCTTTGCTGCTTCTCTCTTTTACATCAGCGCACCAATACAGTGTTCATCAGTTATCACTTGCATCTCACCTGGCAATCAGCAGTGGGCTGTGGGCGTCTGGTGCTGAGCAGCATTTCCTCCCTGGAAACAGGAGAAGCTGTTTTCAAAGGTGCTTCTTGAGAATCTCACAACTTGGAGTCAGTTTTCCCTTTGGCCCACATGGGCTGTGACTTCTTAACCTTTTCTCTGTGACTTTTGGAGAAAGGGGGCAGAGGAGTTGGCTTAACTTCATTTTCCCTGTTGTGTTTGCTGAGGATGCAAGGAAGAGACAGGTAATATTCTAATTTGACATTTGGTGTAAGGAGTGGTTACCCAAACACCAGATGGGGACCTAGAGGGGCTTTTAGAAGTCTAAATACGTAAGTACAATAAATAATGAAAGAGGCACGGAGTAGGAGCTAGGGATACCCGTGGAAAAGCCTTTTTTGTGATCGTTGGTTATATTGTGAATGCATCTGTTCTGTGCCCTGAGCTCTCTCTGACTGCTCCCCGTAGGTGTAAGTGACTGTCAACAAGAGGAATGGTGCTGCCAGCATTTGTCTTCTCGGGGCAGGAAGCCTGAGGAGCTCTGCAGTCCTTAGTTAGCACTAGTAAGCAGTAGACTGTAACATTAGATAAGGATGTTTTAAGGTTACTGCTACCTTTGGGTGACATTTCAGATCACTGGAATTTTGGATTTCTGGGAACTTTGCATTTAAGTTTGAAGGTCAGGATGATCTTTTTGTTCTGGCTGCAGTGATTAATCTTCAAAGAGATTTCTATGCTCAGGGTGGTAGAAACATTCAGAAACCAGTTGGTATCTACTCCTTTGCGCTTGCGCAGGATGTGTTTGCAGGCAGTGAACAGTGGAACCCAAACTGGCGCGGGGCATTTCCTTCTGCAGGAATAGGAAATTTCTTGTAGGAAGGGTTTGTCATCCTCCGGATGTCTATTGACTGTTTTCCTGATGGCATTGGAGTCCTCATCTAGTTTTATCCAGATTTTTTTTTAATCCTTTAAGGAAAATGATAAATTTTTGCACTGTTTTTGTTAACTGCTCTAGGCATTGGTATATTGAACACAAATTGCTTGTGATTTTTTATTCCTTTTTCCTATTTGGTGATTTTTAATATTTTCTCCTTTGTAATGAAATCTTTCTACTTTGTTTTCCCACCACTAAACAGAAGAGTTGAAGAGAGGAGGTGTGTGTTTTTTAGAGGAGACAGTGAACTTCACCTCCAGTTCAGCTAGAATGGTTTACACGTGATTTTTGAGATCTTAATCACATTCACCAAGATAACAGGGGTACACTAATTGACTGTTGCTATGGTTGAAATCTTTTATCAAATGGAGCTCAAGAAACTATTCTAAAACTTGTCTGAGTCATATTTAGAGGTGCTTTTGGAGGTTTATTTCTGTTTGATTGATGGAGCTAATCTGGTTCTTTTCATTGTCAGAAAAAATTATATTAAATGGCTTTGATTTTAACACTTTGATACATCTGGACAATGTTCTTCTATTACACTTATTGGAATTTTGTCATGAGATCCTCAGATGGTGCAATTCAGAGATTGGTATCAGATGAGTGTTTGTCCCTTTGTGCATAGCAAAGGGAACTACTGGCCAGTGAATGCAGATGTTTTAGTGACAAATACTAAAACAAAATTATGTTTGCTGTTTCTAGACAGGAGGCCTGCACAGTCTCTCTCATCCATCAGTACTCAGTATAGCAGTGAAGATGACTCTCACACTGAAACGAGGAAAGACGATGTCAAGGGTAAAGAGGAGTATAATATCAAAAGGGCATCTGATACTGCAGCACAGGCACAATGTGGAAATGAGAACGGGGAGAATGAACTGCTCCGAATGGAGGAAAATCAGGAAACTTTTGCACTGGAAAAGGAAGGAATAGATGAAGCAGAAAAGGCAAAACCAGAAGATCTAGCAGCAAGGGAAGATACTGAAATTCATCATGAAAATATAATGGCAATACAGCATCAAAGTCCTGAAGTTAATGGGGAACTCAAACAGGCTGGGTCAGTAGAAAGTAACGTAGGGGAAGATGGGGAGAAAAATGCAAGTACCAGGAGGGATGATGGGGAGGAAAGTCTTCTGGTGCCTTTGGAAAGCAATACGACAGAAATGGAGGATAGCAATGAAGAGTCTCCTCAGAGTGATGAAGGAGGTGGTGAGTACAGACCCTCTGCACAGCTGTGAGTGACTGGTGCATGCGGGTGTTGCTGTATTTGCCTTTATACCAAGTCCTGGTGCAGCACAGGGAACGCAGCTGCTGGACTATTTCCAAGCTACCAGAATACTCTGTGCTGCTGTGAGCCAAATAGCCAGCCAGGATGTAACCTTGGCTTAGTGTTTATTCTCTAGTGTTTCCTTTGTAAGGCTTTGACTATTCTTTTTTGCTCCAGTAGTTTGGTTTCACATATTATGCAATTATTATAAAATCAACAGGTGATTTATTACCTATAGGAGAATCTATATGCCTGATTGTGGGACTCTATAATGTCAAAATACTAGATTCAAAAAGAACACCAAAAATTGCTGTGTGAATCCTGGTGCAGCAGATGAAGATGAAAACTATGTCAGTTGATCCATGGTTCTTTTGGGTTCTTCTTCTTCACTCTGTCACGGATTTGTTGGCAAGGAGCAAATCAGTTAGTTGTGTGAGTCCTTGTTTTTACTGTTGATGAAATGGCCATCTTGCAGTTTCAACCTTACCTTTGTGGGTAAGGTAAAGCTCCAGAGATACCCCAAGGGCTGAAGGAGCTCAGTCCTTTACTGTGACTGCAGAACTGGTTCTCAGTCTGTTCTTGGGCCTCCCTGATTTTTTTCACATGCACTTCTCTGTAGGGCTGGTCATTCTCATCAGCCATCCAGCCTGTGCTTACATGGATCAGGGTGTGGCCGGGCACTGTTTTGGTTTTGTCCTGATGAGACCCATCGTGTTCTGCTCATGACAGGATTTCTCCTAACCACTGCTGTCATTAACAGTGCAGAACTAATTTATCAGGGGAAACTGTATATGCTGAAGAAAGCAAAAGGTGCCAAATGCTCCTCTGGGGTTGTTCAGTTGCAGACTGAGTCTGGGCAGATCACAACTGCTGGTGTGACAGGATCCGTCAGAAGAATGGGAACACCTGGGATGGGCTCCTGCTGCGCGTTTTCTGATCTTGCTGTGCTCTTTGTGACAAGGAGATATTGCTGATCCCTGGAGAGAGAATTATTGTGAGCAGTGTTTGTCATCCTTCCCTGGGCTCTGTGCTTTGAGAGACTGTCAATTCCCTTTTATCAAATGTTAGGTGGGCAGTAAACTGCAAAGAATGGGAGCTGCCAGCGAGTGAGGCTTCAGGGCTGTAATCAGGCAGAGTTAAACTGTGCACCATGCCTGGCAAAGCTCTTGGCATTTCAGCAAGTGGAAGAAAGCGCTGCCTGTACCCCTGCGTGAGGCAGACAAGGGATGTCCTGGAGCAGAAAGCTCCTTGTCTCTGCAGAGCAGAAACATTGAATGATTTGGGCAGGTTGTGCACTATTGCACAGAGACCTTTGTCAGGATCTTGGGTCCCAGGAGGACCCTGATAAATGCTCTCCTGGGACCTTCCCTGCTAAACTTCCATGGTTCCTTGCAGAGCAGATGTTAGTGCTTCACCCAGGTGAGATGTGACAGCAAGGAGTGGAACCATCACTGCCCTTTAGAAGCTGTGGTATAAGCAAAAAGGCGTTCATGCTGAGAAAGTGCCTTTTGTGCTGTGGGCTGAAATGGGCTAAACATTTTCTCACATTCCTCTTCAGAGCTCACTGGGCACAGGGTACTGATGGGGTAGGAAGAACGGATGTAAGCGTAAAGTTGGAGGAACCACAGGAGCAAGAAGTAGAAAAAATAAAAACAAAAGTGAAAAAAAGAAGAAAAATAACATACACAAGGGCGAGTAGGAAAACAAAATCAACAGTGTAGAAAAACTTGTATTGGCAAGAGAGAGGCAGGAATTTGGGAAGAGTGGGAGCTTGTGGCATGAGAGACAGTCTTTAGCCTTCTCCTCATGGCAAGCCAGTGGGAACGGCACCTCTACAGACCTTGTCTGCAGATGTCTAGAAACTGAAACTTGGAACAAGTGTTTCTGCAGCACTTCCACTGTGTAGATGAAGCTGACCAGTGTGCTGCTTCATGTCGCATACAGTAATAAGATCTAGAAATGTGATTGTCTCCTTTATGATCTGAAAGTGATGCTTGGCAAAAGTGTTGGGTACAAGAGATTGCCTGAGTTACTCCCTTTAGCTCAAAGGCTTGATCATTCCAAGCTCAGAGGAGCAGTCTGAAACATATGCCCAGTGGCTCCATCCAGGCTGCAACAGAATTAATCAGGTCTCACACTGACAGTCACACAGGCAGAAGTGGGCAGCTGTTTCAGGGATGCACCTGAAGGTCTGTGGTTCCAAATGGACACAGTGTGCTGGCGTTAGAGGCCATTTGGCAGCAAAACCAAGTGCATGATTTTACTTTATGCTGTCAATCATGGCACACTAGCAAGCTCTTTGTGTAAAAGACTGAGCCAATAACTGCAACAGAACAGGAAAGGTATAGAAAATTGATGGTGCTTGAAGGAGAAGCCTGGGTTGCTGGAGGCAAGAGCTCTCAGAGGAGATACTGGAAGGATTGGCCTGTGTATGTAGCTGGAATACTGCTCATGAAGAAGTTGTTTAGTATTACTAGCTTGAAAGCCATTCACGTAATCATCCTGCAGATCATAAAGCAAAAATAGAACTGATAGCACGATCTTAACAGTCCTGTCAGATGTATGACTTGACTGTGAAGCATCACAATCATTGAGTTTGCAGAGCAGAAAATACTTCCCCACTTATTTATAGATAAGCATAGGTCTACAGTCACTTATGTCAGTTTGGGGAACTGAGGAATCATCAGAACTGTAGTTAGGAGCTTAACACAGGATTTTTTTTGTTTAAAAAACAATAACATTATGTCTATAAAATCAGGTTGTTGCTTGTATGTTGAACGCCCCTCAGACTGCCTGACAAAAGCAATCTCACTTTTGTGAAAGTGCTGTGGAAGATTGCTGCTCTGTGTTTCAGTAGATGCTCCTGCATGAATTCTCACTTGGATTTTTGATGGTTGTGTCCATTTGATTTTATTCTACTTAAAAAAATTATTGCTGGTGAAGATTTATGTGGCTCCAATTGGGTCTGCCCTAACATTTCAAATTTTAGACCAAGCTGACATAGCTGGATGATTTCTGCTCCCTTTTCTCTTTTTAATGATTTCTCTTTCTTGTTTCCTCCTTTGCAACTTTGTGATAGTTTTTGAAGATGGCAAACCAGTCCAGGAGGAAATAGCAAAGACAGTTGGAAACGATCATCATGTGAATTCTGAACCTGAACCTAGTGATGCCTGTGCAGGTGAGGAAGAAGAGAACCTAGCAGGTACAGAGTGCAATGCCAATGAAGGTGAGGCTGGCCATCAATCAGAGTCTTGGATTACATTTTATTAACATGAAGTCTTTTTATAGAAGTGTCTGCCCTTTCCCTTCTAGGCTATCAAACCCTCCTTGTGCTCTTTTCTTTCCTAACTTGTATGAAGTTGGGTGATGTTTAGCTGGCTTCTGTAGTCATGTAAAATTAATGCTTTTTTAGCAGTTATAATAGTCCTAGGTAAAGAATCCAGGCCATGAAAACACTGGCTGCTAGTTGGGAAAATAGCTGTGGAAAGCAAAAATGTAGTGAGTTTCCCTTCGCTTCCAGGTAGTGCGGGGCCTCCTCGGGAAGTGCATTCTCAGGACAGGCAGGGTGGGACTGACGGACTAGGAATGAAGGCGGACTGCAGACTTGGTCTCCATGCTGGACCCTGTTTGTCTCCCAAACTCGTCTCCCTGTTAGCAGTTGGCATAATTGGCAGTAAGTAAATGTCAACTTGATCTTGGTTCCCTCCATGAATGTTTCTGGTCCTTGCATGCCTAGCAGTTTATCGCTGGAGATTTGATCTGCCTGTCAGAAGAGCCTTGTGTATTGTGCAGGGGAA